ACTGTAAAATCTCCATTCCCTCCCCACTCCAGGGGAAGGATACTGCAAAATCCGAATTCCCTCCCCACTCCAAGGGAAGGATACTGTAAAATCTCCATTCCCTCCCCACTCCAGGGGAAGGATACTGCAAAATCCGAATTCCCTCCCCACTCCAAGGGAAGGATACTGTAAAATCTCCATTCCCTCCCCACTCCAGGGGAAGGATACTGCAAAATCTCCATTCCCATCTCATTCTAGGGGAAGGATACTGCAAAATCCTATTCCCTCCCCACTCCAGGGGAAGGATACTGCAAAATCTCCATTCCCATCTCATTCCAGGGGAAGGATACTGCAAAATCCTATTCCCTCCCCACTCCAGGGGAAGGATACTGTAAAATCTCCATTCCCTCCCCACTCCAGGGGAAGGATACTGCAAAATCCCATTCCCTCCCAGACTGGCCCATGTTCCTCCACAACCTCCAAAAAACGGAACTAAAAGTATAGTCTGAGTTTGTTGGGGTCAAATAACCAAAAATGGTAATCAACATGAATATGCATTTCATGTCAATCGATATACAAAGATGTCTTCTGTTTTGACTTTGAGGTCCCTTAGCCATAAGCATGTTTTAAATTTCTTGATCCCTGAATCTTTTGGCTTCCTCCCCAGGTCGTTCTTCCACTCAAGTTGCAGTCCTTCAATATGGAAAAGTGAACTCTCTGGAAATTTCATGGAACGTTGTCCAGGAAGAATCAAACCTTCTGAAAAAAGTGGACTCCATTTATCAAAGAGAGAAAGGCCCAAGCAAGCTAGGTATGGTCTTCTCTGCTCTCCCGTGATTGGGCAAAGGTTTTCCTTTGAAAGTTTATTGAACTACTCATTTGAATAAAGCCAGTAGCTTTTAGTGGCCTAGTGGTGAAGATGCTCGCCTCCCGCTTGGAAGGTTGAGAGTTCAATTCTAGAGAGTGGCAGACGTTCGTTTCTCAGGGGGCAAAGAAAAAAAAAATCTGCTACAAATTCCATGTAAGCTGACTGGGGAATTCTGGGAGTTGAAGTCCACAAGTCTTAACATTTCCAAGTTTGGAGAAAGGAATGGTAGAGAAGGGCTGTTTAACCCAAAAGCTCTAGCGCACAGTCCTGATGAAGGAGTGAAAAATATGTGTGTTTATTTCTTCTCCCTTACCACTGAATCTTCATTAAGATGTTTTCTTTACAATGGACAGGGGGAAAAAATACAGTATTTCCTGTCCTGCTATTGGCCAAAAGGACTCAATGGTTCTTCAACAGTAGAAAATAGGTTTTGGAATGGATAATAAAACTGTTAAGCTTTGCTTTATAAAGGATAATTTGCACTACTTTGCAATTTCATTTTTACTTTTTAAAGATTGTAACTATGATTTATGAACTTTATGGTTGTATGTGTGCACACTGAGAATTCCTGCATCTATTCTATTCTATTCTATTCTANAGGAGATTTCTTCCAACAACCGGTTCTCCAAACTGCTTAGAAAGTTAACAACCGGTTCTCCTGAATAGGTGCGAACTGGCTGAATCCCACCACTGCTCAGCTCCATCCAGTTGCCAAACTTTGTAACTATAGAGTTATAAAAAGGGAATATTTAAGCAAAGAATAATAAATGTCAGGTGGAAGAAATCAGGAACCAGGGTTGTTCAAATGAGTACAAGTTCCATACTAGTTCTCTCAAGAATCTGAACTACTAACGGTCAAGGCAACTTAGCGGTTGATAAGAGTCAGTGGAATTAAAGGAAGGCCGGACTTAGATCTCTTGTGGGCCTGAAGAGATTCGGAACTGACAATGTGCTACACTCTTCCCTCGATCTCAGTCTTGTCATCTCTTACATTAATACTGCAAAGGCAATGACTATATTCAAAGAGGACTGAGAACAATCAAATTCCAAGAGGCAGAAAAAAATGCAAATTGATTTTGGTGGAAATTAAAAAAAACCCCGAATGTTTGGAAAAGGACTAAACAACAAGCCCTTCATTGTTTCGGATGGAAGCATGGATCAAAATGGTGAAGTGTTTTTGGCACGACACTGAAGTGAGGCAATGCTGGGGTATTTTGGATCTGTGCGTGGTAAATGCTAATGAAATGCTGAAGGGTGGCATTGAAACGTGTTAATTTTAATATCAAAGAGAAAAAAGGATGAAGTCATAAACGCCTTGCAAATGTTGAAAAAAATGTGAGGCTTCTAGTATTGATGGCATAACAGGAGAAAAAATGTTGAAATATTACCATGGTTTACTTAGGGAGTAGCTATGTGACTAGTTGAATGTATGAATAAAGACTCCATCTGTCAGAATGTTAAGGGACGATATCAGAAATGGTATTCAGCAGGTTCTAACCAGTTCTGGAGAATTGGTAGCGGACATTTTGAGTAGTTCGGAGAACTGGTAAATGCCATCTCTGACTGGCCACACCCCCCATCTATTCTCTGCCTGTTGAGGAAATGGGATTTTGCAGTATCCTTCCCCTGGAGTAGGGAGGGAATGGACATTTTGCAATATCCTTCCTGTGGAGTAGGGTGGGAATGCAGATTTTGTGGTATCCTTCCCCTGGAGTGGGGGGAAATGGAGATTTTACAGTATCCTTCCCCTCCTACATCCACCAAGCAATGCCCACCAAGCCACGCCCACAGAACTGGTAGTAAAAAGTTTTTGAATCCCACCACTGGACGGTATGGCATTGGTTATTAGAAGTGACACCAAACCATGATTGCAAAGTCCAAGGCAGATTTGTGGCAGGCAGAGGATGTGAGAATCATGTCTGACATCTTTCCCATCTCATTTGGAAACAAACTGGGCTGCACCTTGGTTGATTTTGTTTGTATACTGCAAAATCTCCATTCCCTCCCCACTCCAGGGGAAAGATACTGTAAAATCTATATTCTCTTCCCACTCCAGGGGAAAGATACTGTAAAATCTATATTCTCTTCCCACTCCAGGGGAAA